GTCTAATAAGATCCAGCTTTTATTTATGTGTGTAGCTGCGCCTGTGAGAGGTAGGAAGAACACACCAGCTGGGGAGGAAAAACGAAAAAGAAAAAAAAAAATTTCTCGGGTACCTACCCAAGGAGTTAATGCATTGGGGCATATGTGAAGGAGTTAAAACACTACACAGGTACAGATCCTGTGGCAATTACAAATGTTATTGAAATAAAAACCAGAAACAGGAAGCCAAAAAACAGGTCCCTAAGGCAGGCATCTGTCTTAAATGATATCATTTGTCAAGTTTCCAGCATTTTGTGGTTGTGAACACAAAAAGAAGTTCTGTGTTACACTAAGGACATTACATACTCATTAGTTGGAATGTTCCTGAAGTACATAATACAGGATTTTCATTTAATAAGAAGCAGCTACTTGCAACTGCATTGCACATAAAATAAATTCTAGGCACGCTAATTGCCATTCAAGGATGTTCTACCTAATTTTTGACAGGTTTTTCTTCCCCTCCCCCCTTAGACTACACTGTAAAAATTGTAAGCAGATTCTATTACTAAAGTTTTTAAATCTTTGGAGAATATTTTCTTATTTCTGAAATCTGAATTTCTCCAGTCATGAATTATGGATATTTTAATCCAGATATTAACAAAAGGAAAAAAAAACAAGTTATCTACAGGAATATTATAGCAAGAAGGGGAGTATATAAGGCAAAATACATACACATACGTATACATGTGTGTGTCTTGATGCAATAACTCTCCAAGTAATCCCCCCCGAGTCTTGAAGAACAAACCTAGCTTTAATTAATTGATTTAGTTCCTCTATCTGAACACTATTAGTGCATTAGTTTTAACTAATATATAAGCTTCCCTCTCGCTGCCCTGCCAATGACCTTAAGCTTCACAGGGTAGGAAAGCCACTTGCTGTAGAATAGAAAAGTAATTTATCCACCATGATTGTTCAGCCCTGGCCCCTCTGTAAAACAGCAACTGACAATTGTGCTCTGTTATGGATGGTACGTTTGTGGTGTGTACAATAGTGTGCAGAGCATCAAACTCACTTCCCTGAACACTGCAGGCAGGATTTGAAAAGTGATCGAAGAGAGAAGCGACCACTTGCTGAGCGATGTCCCTCCATTTCCAAATCTTTTTTTTCTTCCCAAGTAACTCCCCCTATTTTTTTATCTCAAAAGAAAGATCAGTGTTATTTTCTCAGTTTAAGTAAGAGCAGTATGTAGTTTTCCATTCATAAAAGTATGTCATAAAAATAACAATGAAAAAAGAGGTTACATTGCTTTTATTTTACCTGGGATATCCCTGCTTCTTTCTACATTTCAGCATTTAGCATATTCCCTCAAAACATAATAAATTTCTATTCTGTAGCTTAAGGGATCCATCAGTTAAAATGTTAGTCTTTCATCTTTATTACCCTCCCATTAAAATGAAAGAAACCGGGACACACTTCAGTTTAGAAGAAGCAATTTAGTTGGTAATGTCCTTACTACTCAAGTCTTTACAAAGAGAGAAAGTGCATTATTGCTTATATTTCACACATCTATCTGCATAAGAAGCAACTAAAGCTTTCAGACACATACGATATTAAATTTAATAATATTCTTTGATTAGATTATTTTATTACAACATTTTTCCATTACTAGTCATTTCCCGTACACATTTACATTCATAAAACCTGCAGGTTTTTCTTTGTTTGTATGTGTTTATATGTATTCATAAAACAGGGAAAAGATTTTCTGGTTTGCTACAGCTGTTAGATTCGAAAAGAACAGATTAATAACTAGCCACCACGTAGGACTAGGTTTTCTTGTACACTGCACCAGTAACCCTTTGCTATAATGAGGACACAAAGAGGCTCACATCAGGCTGTTCCTCTTCTTCATAACTCAAAAGCGTCACAGTGGCAATAGCCTCTAGTGCTATTTGTCTTTAGTGCAGTTGTGACACTTCGGCATGATCCATAATTTGGCAGCTATTTACCGTGACATTTCCCTTCAGTGCAGCCATAACATTCAGTGAAGCCATTATTTGGTTCCATTTACCATATAAATTGTATTGTCGTGCATGCATGCTAGCAGCTACATTAGGTACCTGAAAATGAGTAAATCTTGTAAAATAGATACTAACAGCTATTCAGCAGAGAAATTTCTTTACTCCTCAGACAGAAGTAGGAATACACATAATATCTGCAAATACTACTGCAAACTTTTCCTTGAGAGATTGCAATTATCTGCATTTACATGACACAGCAGTTATTCATATCCACTTACTAAATATACACTTTATGTGTATATACATTACACATTTGCACACATACAAACATACAGTAAACTACTGCTTGGTAGAAACCCAACTTGATTCAAAAAAGGTATTAGGAGAATCCAGCATAGCAATTAAGTAGGAAGTATATCTGTAAAATGTGCTGAGGGTTGCAAGCCAGGAGAGAGCGAGTGAGTACGTGTGTGTCCGTGTGCGCGTGCGTATGCACACATGTGACAGACTCAGGAAAAAAGCCAGCTCTTCATCTAGTTCTTTGTTGTTTTTCCATGGAAGCATATGTGTGTAGGGAAGGGAAATTCGGTTATTAGCCTCAGCAAACAATGCCAGATTCCTCTGTAGCAAATTCATTTAGAAAGGTAAAATTAGGATGTAGTGCTAGCAACCACATCTCAATGAGCTGCTGTTATTAATAGTATTATTATTTAAATCCCTGCTCTCTACATATAGTATACTTAGTACTTCCAAGGCAAATGTATTATTATTTTTAATCATTTAAGTCCCCACTGTGCACACAGCTTTTAATACACCTTTTTTGCAAGCATATTAAGTGTATTGTTATTAATCCCTTGCTGTGACTCTACAGTATTTCTTTTCCTTGTATGTTCAATGTCCTATCATCATTTAAACCTCTCAGTGTGTGCATGCCATATACATTTTTCTAGGCATCTAATATTTAAACATTATTTAAATCCATCATAGCTTACTTATTCAAAGGCAGCCCTGCTCCCACAGCTGTAAGTTTGCAGAATGTACTTTTAAATAAAGAGAAGTTGGGTATTTTTCCCCCTGCTGCAAGTCAAAATTCATTATGAAACTCATCAAAAAGGCCTTATCTGCATGTTTAAGAAATACTTTTTGCCCTCTCTCCATCGATATTAAATTGCTCTCTTTCGGCAATTTAAAGCATAGAAGTTCTATCTTTAAAAACTAAAATTACTTCTTCATTCCATATTCATTCATGGAAGAGGTATCATATTGACCCTGACCTGCCCCTTCAGCTTAACATAAACATTTGATGAAAAAAACAATTCCAATGACCATAGCCTACCCTAAACACCAAAAGGGCTATGAAATTCGTATGAAATTGGCAATTCGAGTTATGCATAAAACAAATATAAGCCTTTTATTAATGCTGTGATCAGGATGAAAGTGCTAAACAACAATCTGAGGCCAAAATTAAAATTAACAAGATGTCATATCTGAATATATATGTGTGAAACCTCCAAAGGTTCCTCTCTTCCCCTGTTTGATCAGGGAAGAAGCCTGGGGCAGTTGCATTATGCAACGTTATATATGAAGTAACATATTAAAAAGAAAGGAGAATGTATGTCCAAACAGAATCCTGTTTCAGGAAGAATTTTTTTATGACAAAAACATATGAAATTCACTGCCTCAGAAACACCAAATCTATTGAATTGACAATGATCAACACATCCGAAAATTGGGGCACTTGGATGGTTTGGGCATTTGACTGCAGGAATTTAATTTGAAAACATTGTTACTCATTCAACACTTCTGTATGTATCACAGATGTAACCAATTGTGGTTTTAAAAATTTTGCTACAGTATATCCCAAACAACGTTGGTTTTTTAAGAAGCATTTAATGACCAAGGACTTCACCTTATCCCTGAACAAGAGAAGACATCACATGCCTAGGAATAAAATGCTGAGCACTTTGCATGCTCTGTATGGTACTTGAGTGTTTGCATCCTTCTAGCATTCAGCTGGAAGGCCAATATACCTTTCTAATTATGTGAAACACAAACACAGCACAGTATTTGTATTATCAGAGATGAAAGAGGAAATATGTTTCTAACAGCAGATCTTAAAACAAAAATCATGTGGTTTGATGTTCACCTTGTGTAAAAGAGAAAAATGGTCACAAAGACTCAATCCATTCCGCCTTTCCCCAAAATCCACTGAAGTGAGACTAAACCTAGTAGTCAGGCATGGCCCAAGACAGTTCTCCATTGTACACAATTCTTTATGATGCTAATGATATATGTGTTAAAATTTTACATTAACAATGGACTAAATCAAAATTTAAAATATTTTTATTTCTGTTTGCATTAAATGTATAAAATGCATAAAATGTACGTTTTCCTGTGTTACAATCAAAAATGTTGTGTACAGTCAGTCCTCAAAAATGCCCTAAAATTAAGTTTACCCTGTATTTTTTTCTTCAAGTCCTAGACATTATCAGTCTATCATTATGTTTATTATGAGGCATATGATCTTAGGAAATTTCCATCTCTTCAACTGCATACAAATGAATGTAATTTTAAAAGATGTGGCAAAATTGGCCTTTAAAATCTTGAAAGTTTGCTATGGAAAAAAAGACGTAGACCAAGCAGTTTCAAGTATTTCATTGTTCTGGAAAATATTATGCTTCTAGCTGGAATTCCCACTGTATGTACCATTAATAATATCCGCCAGGTGAGGAAGAAGTTTTGAAACTTTACAAAACCCTTTAACTGTACCTGCTAGAAAATCTATGGCTGAGCATCAATATGTGCACCAGGTATTGTGACTATAGATTTAAAATGGTCCTGCTGTTTGTAACAGGGCTTCTGCAGAAGCAGTATTTGGTAAAATTAGAAGTAGCGAGAAGATTATAGGAAGTCCCTTCAAGAATGATCAGTCAAATAACTCTGAAAAACTGAAAAAGAGCTAGACAGCAAGAAACATATAATTATGAATAAATGCCACAAATATTTAAATAGCTTTTAAAACTTTATTTAATCTTCAAAAAAATATACAGGGCTCGAACACACATGAACATGGCTCAAAATCCCATTCCAATCATCTTTAAATACTGGCTAAAGGGGAGACTGGACAATAAACAGTAGCAGTGGAAAATGAAAAGGCAACAAAATGAGACTACATTGCAACTTACAGTTAAAGGTTTAAAAGAAAATTGCACAGTTGTTTATAGTTATGAAAGACAGGATTAAAAAAAGAAAAAGCCAAGTTGCTTAATATTACTGACATGTCAGAATTGGAGGATAAATTTCCCTGTGTAACCAGTCAAGGAATATTACTATGATCCATGATGCAACTGAATTATGATTATCATGTTTGTGACAGAAAATCAAGAGCATTTTTTTCCCAGAAACTTCAAAAGATTAATAGAGCAACCCAAAGATACAACTCTACTTATTCTTGTTCTAACAATTTTATTTTTAAATCAGGGAATCAAAATTGCTGAAAGATTTTTTTTCTGAGCTGAACTACATATGAAGTCTTATCAAATCAGGCTGACAGACTAAATCTGCCTCTGCATCAAGACTTATTCTGTCAAGAACAATGTTCATGTCTCACGCTAACCTAAGTGACAGTATCAAACATAGGCCCATTATGTCCCTGTTACAGCCACTGATTTAAACACTTTTAAGAAAATAAAAACAAAACAAAACAAAAAACCCCAACAAACCCATCCCTTTTTATTAACACTTTAATGCTGTTTTTTAATATAATATCCATTACTAAGCTTAAAAAAAGAAATTGTTTCTAGTAAATCTGAGGCATAAAGTGCCCATTTTCTCGCTTCTGATTTATATCATTGTTCTGTTTTTACAGCTTACTGTTGACAGAGTGAGGTAATTCAACTACAATTTTTCCAATGTTTTTTCCCATGTACATGTAATCTACAGCACGGAATACAGATTCCAAGCCAGTGAACTTGCCCTCTGGAGACATGTCTCCAAAGTCCACCTCACAAACCAGGTCTCCTCTTTCATACATCTTGAGCAAATGCTGCAGAGCCATTTTGTAGTCGGAAAGGTAATGGTTCAAGAAGAAACCCCGGACGCTAGCAGACTTCTTCAATAGTTTTGCTGGCAATAACTCTGCTTTAACGGGCTGGAGGCCAGTGGGGTTTTGGTAGCCAGCGATAAACCCAATAACTATCAGGCACCCTTTGATAGCCAAGGCATTGAGAGCCAAGTCAAACATCTTTCCCCCAACAGATTCATACACCACATCCACACCTTCAGGGTAGTCCTTCCTCAGCACAGATTCGACATTTTCAGTTTTATAGTTGATGGTACGGTCACAGCCAATGGATTTCAGAAAGCCACCCTTTTCATCACTGGAGCAGGTTCCAATTACATGGCATTTTGCCTTCTTTGCAAGCTGCACAGCGAACTGGCCCGTTCCTCCAGCTGCTGCTGTCACCAGAACCTTCTTGCCTTCAGACAGGTCTCCCAGCTCTTTCAAACTGAGGTATGCAGTTGCTCCACTTACCATTAAAGTGAGAAACTCGGGTTTCACTGAGGGTAGAGGGACTGCTTGTCTGGCAGACACAACTGTATATTCAGCAAAGGAACCTGCTTTCACGTAGGCCACAGCTTGACCCACTGTGAAATCTGCACTAGCACTGAGTCCTAATGCTACCACTTCACCGACGCCTTCAAAGCCTATATCAAAGGGGGGTTTAACTGAGGCGTCATATCGACCAGCTGAGTAGTTTATATCAGATGCATTAATGCCGACAAATCTAGAAGAAAACAAAAATGTATTAACGAGATTCACTCCTTACCAAGTTTTCATTGTATGAGAAACCTTATATTCAAATTTGTGGGATAAGTACAAGATTTGTACTGATTATCTGTATATTTGAATAATGAGTATGCTCCAAAGATTACTTTCATCAGACTTTCGTAGTTTCCATTCTGTTATTCTAGAATTACCAACAAATTTTCTAAACAAAAAAAACCCCAAGAAGCTATAAAAAGTAAAACCCAAACTCAAAACAAAACAGAACAAAACAAAATCCCTTATATTTTCCTTAGGTCCACTTGACCAAGCTAAACAAGCTGAAAATAAATCTGTAAAAGATTAAAGCATGAAAATTAATTGACCACTTCATAAAAGATGTGAAAACACAGAAGAATGAAACATGCAGAGCGGTAAATATGTGGATTCTGGCAACAAATTTATATTTTTGAATATAATAATACTGTTAATGACTAATGATCATATTAACTATCGATGTCATTTGCAAGGTCATGTTACTGTAGGCAAGTACTTTTTAATTGATGGAGTCACTACAGCAAATTTGCCTTTTGATGTAGCTAATGTCAATGTTAAAATATTTTTCTGTATATAAATTACTTGCAACACATCAAAACAACCTTGCATAGAAGGAGTAAAATTGTAAAACTGAGTATCGAGTCCTACTGACCTCTAACAGGTGAAAATGGATGGCAATTTTTTTTTAGGGAAAGATAGAGACATTCTCACAACTTGATTAAGCGCTAGGAGATAATGCGTAGAACGAAGTTATGATCTAGCTCAAATGCAAAGACTATTTTAAAAAAAATAACTATCTTTACACAGGCAAGAGAAAAGAGACTGGGGAAGGTTCTGCTAACTGGAAAACGTAAAAAAGAAACATGAAACAGCAAATGCCAGGACTGTTACTATGTGTGGATGTGACAACCTAAAAGGTGTACTTGACACCATGCAAAAGCTGCAGAAGTAGGCAAACAGCGCACTTTTAATTGTTGCAGTTAGCAACAAGCTCAGCTCGTATGTGTGTGTAGTTTTAAATTGCTTGCACACAGAGCGAGGAGAACTAAAACCGCTTTGCTCCTTTTAATATTCTTCATTCTTTACAGCATAGGAAGCTTCAAACTTTCACCTACGTTATATATAAAAAGACACGTAAGCGTAAACACATCCAGGCAAAAAATAGGTAAAAGTGACTGTGGCTCTCGGTAATCCTGCCTTTAACTCGCCGCTCTGGCGCAACAAAAAATGTCTACGTCTTGTTCGCAGATAGAAAAAAATCTTCTATTATCCCGCTTTGCAGTGACTCCCGTAGAGGAGTACTAAAAGATGTATAAAAATTGGTAACGGAGTTGCAGCTTCCGAAGCAAACCGTGTCCCTCGGGCGCTAGGCGAGACGTGCCGGAGCTGCATCAGCCTCCTCCCGCTCTTACACCCCAACTTCTGGGCAGGGCAGCGGAGGGTGAGAGCCCGGTGAGGAGCCGGGGCTCTCGGTAGCTGCGAGGCAAGCCCGGGGCGCCCGCTCTGCCCCCGGCCCCAGCCCGTAAGGGAGGTCCCGGCTCCCCGCTGGGCTCAGCCTCCCTCCCCACGCTCCCGGCGCGCGTCTGCCCTGGCAGGACGCGGAGCAGCCGCGCCCGCGGTTGGGGCAGCGCACCCCGACAGGGGCAGGCAGCGCAGCCACAGGAGAACAAACCCCCGTATTTTTAAGACCTTCCCCTTCTCGGCGCTGCACGGCAGCGGCCGGAGCACAAAGGCAGGTAGAACAACAAACGCTCTGAGGACAAAAACTTTGCGTGCGGGTAAGGGGCAAGTGGTGCGGGGGGCCAGGCGCCTGCCGAGCAGGGCTCCAGCACACGCACCGCTGCTTTTGTTCTGCACCGGAGAGAATGTGAACCCTTCCTTCCCCGCCCGGGCCGCACCGCAACTTGTGCGTGCGGCTGCGGGGGCCGCGGCGCAACTTGGTGCTGCCCGGCTGCTCCCGCCGCGCCGCGCCGGGCAGGGGATGCGGGCTCTCCGCGGGGCTGGGCCCGCCGCCCCCCGCACACTCACACAGGCACACACGGACACGCGTGTACACGCACTCGCTCCCTCCTCGCCTCTGAGGGGCTGCTGTGCCACGGGAAATGATCCTCCCTGGGCTTCTGGGTTCATCATTATTAATCAATGCAGCCTGCCGTCTAGCCCTCCCCCCCAGTTTTTTTTTTTTAAACCTCCTTTTTATTGTGTGAAAACTCAAAACTCCTGGTCGCATTGTACAGGCTTTTTCTTCCTCCCCCCTTTTTAAAACAAGATTGTTTAGTCTCTTATATTCCTTGCATATTAAAACGATCATACGCAACGTCTGGATTAAAACATAGTGTCTAATTTGCCTTGTCATTCCAGCTGACAGAAGTGAGGTGGTAGGATGTGCGTGCAGTTTCACAGATTATTTTGCTTTTAAAAGTAGGAAAAAGTACGAATTACAAGTTGAAGATCAGCTAACTGAGACTGAGGAAAGTAGACAGCACAAAAGTAATATTTACTTGGGGTGCTAGTGGGTTTTAAGACTCTTTCCAGATCTTTTATGCTGCCTTCATTGACTTTCTTACTTTAAATCTGTTCTTTAATTTAGAAGTTTCTAGTTGAGTTTTGCCCCTTACATTCAAGATGCAAACCTGAGGGAGGGTGTGAAAAAAGCCTGAGATTGGCTTTTCTCAAAATAATTACGCACATTGAGTCACCCATTTTATTTATACTCAGCAGTGTTGAAACCCCTCGTACTGTTTATTATAGAAAACAGGAGGACGCTGCCGAGGGGAAGAAACGCTGTTTTGTGTACCACAACAAAGAGTGAGACACCGAAAACCAGCATCACAGCCTTAAAAACAGACAAAACAAAGTCATCCCAACCAGTACTACGCAAGAAAAAACATTATTTAGACCAAACACCCAGCAGGAATAGCCCTCCACTTTTCTCACTGTGATCCCTTTACTCCTCTGGTTCAGAAAAAGAAACTTTCTCAAGCCCTCTTCACTCCCTTTTCTATAAACTTTGTTCCCATCTTCCAGTCCAAAAGTAAATCCCTACAGGCATTTTGGTAATGAAAGGTGTCACTTCATCAAGAAAATCTCTGAAATCCCCCAACAACTTTAAGAAGGACCAAACCTTCACAGCCTTTGGGCCCTTCTCCTGCAATGAAATGGAAAATCCTTGCTTCACACCCATCCCTCTTTCCCTCCCCGCCCCCCCCTCTCCCCGGAAAACAGGACATACAAAACTTAAATGGCTTCATTAAGGATTTATCACCTTTTCCTTTCCCCTTTCTCTCCTACACAGAATCAAAGTAAAAAAAAAAAAAAAAAAAA